GAAAGCCTAAAATCGAAAAAAAATTTTACAGTCGATCAATCGAGCGAGCGAGCGAGCGAGCGAGCGAGCGAGTGCCATTCTTCACATCATATCTACAACTCGCTCTTGCACATGCGCGCAATTCACGAGTTAAAAAGAGTCAAACGATAAATGCATAATTAGCATTCCGACCAGCGTATTTCCATCCCACCCAAAAACCTCTACATTGTTGACAGAAAGTGAAATAGCCTAGTAAGAGACCTGGCTTGCACAATTCCATTTCACTCTTAAGACTGTTTAAATTTCGCAGTGCTCTGATTCTAAAAAAAGCTGGCTTTAATATCAGCGAAAGCAGAACAAACAGCTTAAGACACAGAGCGTAAAAACACTTTAAAATGTAGGCCTGCAGCCAGAATCCGGGAAATTGAAAATTTCTTAAAAAAACCTGTCAAACTATCAACCATCTGACAGCCAAGTCAGCGTGCTACCAAATGGTCTCAAATTCATCCCAACGCCCGTGACAACCAAATTTAAAATCAGGCCAACTTTTGCGAGATTTATTCGAAGGCGAATGCGCCTCCGTTACACTTTTCATGGACAAAACAAAGAACCACTTCTGTTTCATATCAAACTGAATGCCACCGGTTCAGTCTTCTATCGCCCTTCAGAGCTACTTGGAAAATTGTCATAACGCTACTTGTAGACTGCATCTAAGACAAAAAATACTTTGTAACGCAATGAGGTCACGGTGACGTGTCCTTTGAGAAAGGTCTTAGTGTTAACCCCTTCTATTACAAACAACAATAGTCATCATGAACAAGACAGAAAAAAACACAAGAGGCCAAAGTGCAACTCAACAACAGAGCTCACTTCAAACCTCTCAAAGCACCGATAGTAAAAAACACGTGGGAAAGGGTTAATGAGATCATTGACCAAGGGTGTTACGAAAACGAAGACCCTCGAAAACGAAGACGTAAGACCTAAGACCCCCGGGTCTTCGTTTTCGTAGTACGAAAACGAAGACCTTGTAAACAGAAAACCGTAGAAATTACAAGTTAAACAGACATTAAACAGCAACAACGCTTAGTAATATTTAACAACTATTCACCTCAGTGTCGGTGGTTAGCGGTTGATATTTACCTCGTCGCAACACCAAATTGGCTCGCATAGCGAAAAAGAACAAACAAGACGGGCCGTATAATTATACGGGCAGTATAATAATACGGGCAGCACAATAATGGGAAGAAACGCGTGAAGTGTAATGTATTATATTACTAAGCGTTGTTACTGTTTAAAGTGCGTTTAACTCGTAATTTTTACGGTTCTCTGTTTATAACGTCTTCGTTTTCGTACCACGAAAACGAAGACCGGGGGTCTTAGTTTTCGTAGTACGAAAACGAAGACCGGGGGTCTTAGGTCTTAGGTCTTCGTTCTCGAGGGTCTTCGTTTTCGTAACACCCCGTTGACCAAATGCATCAGGGAAAACACATTGATGGCTTAGAAATGGCTTTCACAAACTCCCAATATCCGCCTTCGGATACACAATTAACCATTGCCGAAAACTATTTTTACTAATCACCCGATCATTTCTCACAGAAAAGGAAAATCCCTTACGACAATCAAAAATACAGTTCGAAGGCGATAAAGCGATGCGACCACAAAAGCCACATGGGGAGTCCGTGTCGTTCTGTGTTTATCTTTATTCGCATGGCAAAAATTCATCGTTTGTGCGCGCAACACTATCCACAGAAGTTTCAGATGATTTCTGGGACAAATGATCGTCTGAAAAGGTCGACATTTCCCGACTGACAACGAAGCAGTTCTCAAAAAAGTAATATGTGTGATGATTCTCTGTGCAGCGAACAAAGAGAGTTGTGACAAAGCAAAGCATAAGTTCGCTCCGACGAAGGGCTAACGCTCGAAACGTCAGCTTTTATAATCGTAACGGTGGCCAATTTACCATTTCAACTTTGTTGATATATTCAAATGAAAGCATCAGTTTGTTGAGCCTTTGATGCATTTTTGCGGGCTCAGCTGGAACATATTTTCAGCAATGGCGGACGATTTTTGGACGACTTTGAAGCGGTAAAAATTGGTCATCGAAGGTTTGTTTTGAGTTTTAAATGGCAAAAAGGGTCTTAACTTGACCCAATTCAACATTGTATAAACAATTTAGGCCAAAATAAAATGGTCAATTTTCGTCTCAGGGGTACTTTAAGGGCAGGTTACAAGATGGATGCAGTTCAAAATAGTGGATGGTGTATATCAAGTGCATTGGTCATTAAGACGTTCAACAAGTATGGCCCATCATCTTCTTGTAGGCACGATGGCGAAGGTGGAGTCTGGGCCAATCAAGTCTATCTCCTGAAAGGTTAGTAATTATCAACAATTTTTCATCAATGTTCACTTCTTCAAGTAACTTACCTGAAATAACACTGATTTGAAATTTTTGCGCGGAAGTCGTTTTGACTGAACATGAATAGAACAAAAAGCGACAATGATATTGCACTTTACAGAGAGGTTAATTTTATTTCAATTTCTGTTCTCTAGGTTACGTGTCCATTGGATGCTATAAAGACACATCATGCCGTGCAATCCCGACCCTAGAAGGAAAGGATTCTATTCTGGATGGCAGTTACTCGCAACGAAGAGATCCTATCGCCAAATGGGCCGTTGCTGCCATGAGAGCGGGTTACAGGATGTTTGCAGTTGAAAATGATGGCTGGTGTGCATCAAGTGTTATTGCACCAATGATCTTTGCCAAATATGGAACATCCACGGCTTGTAAGCATGATGGAGAGGGTGGACCATGGGCAAATCACGTTTATTGTGTCATGCGGTAACTTTATGATGAAAGTCATATTTTGATGATGGACAAAGGTTATCATGAGAAAAGGGGATCATTAAATGCTTTGAAAAACTGATGGAATTGCTTGTGTTGTTTGACTTATTTCACCGATATAATATCGAGCGCAAGTGTAATGATCCAGTCAACCTCTATTAAATGGCACTGTATTAAGCGGTCACCCTGTGTTAAGCGGTCAGTTCCGAAATTGTTTTCCATTAATAACTCTAATCTTGTAAGTTTAGCCTTCTTTGAATGATGTTTTCCTCGTGTAACATCAATGATCAAAGCGTCAAGGATAACTTCTTGCTGTATTCAAATTTAAACAGCAAATCACGGCTGTTAAAATCAGTCATTAGTCCATGATGCATTTCATTTGGAAAGATTACAACCTGGCTGGAAAGAAAAGAAATTGCAACAATGTAGTCGCACTTCTTGATAAACTCATGCATGGAGATAGTGAAACAGTCTCTTTTGCGAAGAAGTAGTTTATAGTGAAACAGAAACTCACTTTCCCTCCCCTCCCTTCCCCCTCCCTCCACAAGTGAGCAAGATAAGTGTGTTCTGCCGCAAAGCATCTTGCGGCCTTTGATGCGGGTAGGTCTCGACAAGTTTTCGACCAACTGTTACACGTATGGAAAGGAAAAAATAATCAGGCAAAAAGGAGGGAAAATTATAATTATCTTGACTCCTGTTGTCGCCTAAAGTGATCGTACCACTGGCCAAACACTTTTTGATGTTTGGGAACTGTATTTTGATTCCAAACGAATCTTTACATTAAACAAAAATGGCGACTAAAAGCAAAGCCAAAAAAAACAACAACAACACGAGGTCTCGAATTACGTCATTATCACATGATGTCAATCATAGGTACGTAAAGCGTACAAATTGAACTAAAACAATTGTCGCGTTCCCGATGCCGCAGACACGTGGTGTTGTGCACCGGAGTTCGCCAGTATAACCACAGTGTTGAACTTTAGACAAGCAGCAGCATCAAACTCTTTATTCACTTAAGCTGGCAGTCTTTGTACAGCACAGGCGGTAAAAACTATAGAACGGATACATGAAGGTTCGAGATAAGGAAAACCGAAAGACT